AAAAAATATTGTAAATTTGTTGGTGATTACCTAAATTGTTCTAGGGCCATAGTTAGGGGGGGAAACATCATATATCTAAGGGTATGTTGGTCTATTCACCCATATTCTTCTCTTTATAGAATCTGAATCTAGATAGCCAGCCAAACGATTTCAGCGAGATATCTATTTCTTCTAGAAACGTTTCTATAAAAAAATTGGATCTGAAATGATTCTAGGTTAATCTGAATCCCTACCAAATGCACCCTAAATATGAAGCTTTCTAATGAGATTTATAGCAAATTTGATTCTTTTGCAAAAATAAAAAAATTTAGGTGTTACAGTTGGTCCTGTGTAAGTAATTTGAGAAAATACGAATATACAAATGAACAAATATGCTTATATTGGGAGAGGGCTGCTGCAGCACCTCCCCCAGTAATCCAAAAATAAGTATTGGGGTAGCCCTGTTATAGTTCTATTAGGAAACATGTATTGTTGATCTGTTGAAGATGCTATAACTTTCCCTAGCTATTAAAAAAAAAAACTCCCCCTAGCTTGTCTACACTCTTCACATGGTGTGACTCATGGGAAAGACGTGCATGCAACCTATCGGATTGTGTCCTTCAATGCCTCTTGCTTCCTAGTGGTCATGCCTGTATGCAAATGGTAGGCGGCTGAGTCGTCCCTGAAACGAATCCAGCTCCGCATGAGGAAGCTAATGGATTACTAGCACGTTCCACATTTTGTACAGGTGATTTGATCACACTCGGGCCTTCTAAGGTTGCTTGGGCTGACCACAGGGCATAGGAAAACTCTGGAATAGATTCCCTCCCTCGCCAACCAGTCTCCTCAGGTCGTCTAGCTTTCCTTTGGATGAAATCAAGAATGCCGGTGACATGAGGAGGATCGGATCCAGTTATCCCCAATCATCCGAAGAAATAAAGAACGTCAGTGGGTGCTACCCATGGTGGTCAGATCTCAGCCGCTATCGGTGCAAGTGGACAAGTTGAACAAGCTCCTCTAGCCTCACGACCAGTGATATGGTCCACACGTCCATATCAAACATCGATGCCGACTTCAATGGTGCACGCTCATTGGATCGGAGTCCGCCGCCAAATGCCTCGAGAACCACAGGGCTTTTGGTCACTACTTCATCGATGACCTCTTGTTGAGTGTCTTCGAACAAAAGTTCAAACATATGACCCTGTGTGCCTTAACGCATGAATAGCTCCTAAAATTACCCTAGTTCTACTATGAGAAAAAGAATCGCTATCGATTTGAAGAACGGTGAAGGAGGCAATAGGAGATGCGCTAGGAGTACCTGCCACTTTGGGACCTTCTAATTAATTAATCCATTTTGAGCTCACTCCTAGATTAGATATATATGGATGCCACCTTTATCCGGTGAGTTCACAACAAAATTAGCCTACCGTCATTACTTTGTGGGGTCAGTGGAATATGGACCATGGAGGGAAATATGGAAGACTTGGGCTCCACCTCAATACAAATTCTTTTGTTTGGTTGTCCTCCTTATTAAACCGTTGTTGGACGGCTGATCATTTGTCCCATCGTGGACTTGATCACCCGGAGTACTGCCCATTGTGCTACCAAGAGTAACAGACGATTCAACATTTACTCACTTCGGCCCTGTTTGGATTGGAGGAAATCCAAAGGAATTTCAAAGGAAAGGATTCCTTAGGAAAGGTTTCAAAGGTTGCCGTTTGGGATGCAGGAAAGACACGTCCTGTTCCAGAGGAAAGGGTTCGTATGCTGTACAAATCATAGGAAAAAAAGAATCCACTCGAACTTAAGGGAAATCTCATTGCTTGTTGATCGCTCGCTCGTCACGGCCTCACAGTCGACAGTCGCGACTCGCCGCGCATCGCGCGTCCTGGTTTTCGGTGCAGTTACCGTCCGTGCTGACACCGATGCTCGCCGCGGCTGCTCGTGCTCGCGCTCGGTCGTTGCACCACCCGGCCTCCCGAGCTCACACCGGCCATGCCGCTCGCACACCCCCGCCATGCATGCCGCCGTCGTTAGGAAGAGAGAGACTCATCAACGGCCGGCAAGATAAGAACCACCAGGTGCTTGAAACGGTAAAAACGTATATGGAGAGAGAACGGTTCAGCCGGACAGAGAAAGAGAGTACTAACTACTCTGCGTATAGATGAATTAAAAAGTAATATACCAAATGACTAGTTGAAAGAATCTAAATATTGTGTTAGGATGCATCAACCGATATAATCGGTGCTTATGGACACACGTGACGATCAAGGCTATTCCTGTAATCCAAACACCTCAAAGTATTTATTCCTGTGTTTTGGAATCCTGTAGTTTTTCACTTTTCACTCTACCTTATTCCTACGTTTTTTTTATTTCCTCTGTTTTGCATTCCTGTGTTCCAAACAGGCCCTTCTCGTGTGTTTGCAAGGAGTGCCTGGTTTTCAGTGCTATCATATCAATAGTTGGGCTGCGGCACTTAGCCCTGGGTTTGAAGAATTTCAAGTTTACAGATTGGTGGTGTCATGCTTTACATAGGGTTCCCATTTTATCTTATCTCGTGAGGGCTTCAATTCTTTACTTGTTTTGGTGGCATGGCCGATTTGGAAGCATATGAATGGTTGTATTTTCAAGGGGGTTTTCTCCTAGTCTTGTTGTCATCTTGAGGGATATTAGAGACGAGGCAGCGTTAGGGTGTATAGAAGGAGCCTAAGGGCTCCGAAGCATATGGCCATAATCGTTTCGGTAGTGCTAGCGTACGGACGTCCGTGCCTACACTCCGTCTCCCCCCGCGCGCCTGCACCCCACGCCCGCCTAACTACACGTGGAGAGTCCCCGCTCGCGCCCCTCCGCTTCTCACGTGCATGCATACGGCCAGCAGCTGCAGCAGGTGGATACACCAGCATCCAAAAGAGGGGGAGAGGTGGCGAATGCCCATCCAACGCCGGGAGGAGGAGGAGACACTAAGGCGAAGGTGAGGAGCAGAAAAGCGAAGACATATATGCAACACCCGATCTACTTTTGAAACATCCGAATGCAACACTTGCAACATACATCTGAAGGCAGATGAAACACATGAAACAGCATCTGAAACACTAGCTGCAACATCAGATCTACTTTTGAAACATGCAGATGAAACACTTGCAACATACGTACGAAACAGCTGAAACACCCGAAATATGCGTATGAAACACTTGCAAAAAACACCTAAAAACGCTTCATATGTGTGAAAACATATGCAACATCAAAATAAAAACACTTGCAAACATACGTCTAAAAAACGAGATGAAACATTTGGAACATACACTTGAAACATACTTGTATAGCCACTGCAACATGTGCAACATTCCGATCTATTCTGATCTACTTTTACAACATCAAGATGAAACACTTGCAACATCCATATGAAAACACCTGAAACACTTGAAACGTACTCTTGCAATGTGAGTTTTGCTTGGACGAATGGAGGCATGCTGGCGCAGAGGTTGACGGCGTCGCATGGACCTCGCTGTGCGGCAGCGGCACGGGCAACTCGCCGGTGAGCGCGGCGTCACACGAATCTCGTCCCCTCGCCTGCTTGCTGGAGCATCTGTCGTGAAGGCTCGCCGGCTCGGTGGAGGCGGTCGCTGCGAGCGGGCCGGCCGCGGCAAGGATGCAGCACGGTGGAGACGGACGAGGCAGACTGGACCTTGTGGGGAATGCGGCGCGGAGGAGGCCGTAGGGGATGGGGCATGGCACGGCTGCGGCAAAGGCGGAGTGGGGTGGGCGGATGGGCACGGACGTAGGGAGCATCGGGGAGGGCGGATAGGGTCGTTGGGCGAGTGGCACGTGCTGGAGTGAGCGGAGGGAGGCGTTCGTCCGTCCGGACGTCTTAATTGTATCATTATCCTAATTATTTTGCTCACGGTTGTTGGTTGTGGTTATTTATTCGCATCTACAGATGAACGATGCAACTGACTGCTGAACACCATATATAACCTTGCAATGCAAATCGATGTTCAAGAAACCAGAAGGTAGACGTCTCCATATACTCATCTAATGCTCCAACTTCGATATCGGTTTCTTCATGACTTCTTTTTAATCTTGCGCAGTTTCTTCAGATCTTTACACTCCTTCAAAACATCTGAAACGACCTGGGTTTCCAGTAATACTGATTGATGGATGGATATCTTCATCTCTATAGCATCAACCCCTTCCTTATCCCGATAACTGCAAGATAACTTCATGGAATGTGGTACATAAAACGCACCTTGATCCGTCAACTTCTGTACCAACTTGATTAAACCAAGCCAAGCCTCTTGAGCTCTTTGATAAGGGGAGATGCCTACTATTTCAATCGACTTGTGAGAGTTTCCACTCTCTACAGAGTCGGAAGGAGTGCCACGTCAATCCACATGTGTTGGTGTGGATTGAAGTGGAACTTGAACTAAATTACATACCAATCCACCCCAACACATGAAGATTGAAGTGAATCCACCAACGTCCAAACAAGGCTGGATGATTTCATTTCGTGCACGCAAAAAAAAAAAAAAGGTAGTTCGTGTGGTTTATATCGTCTGCTCAGCTCAAAATTATCAGTTTGATCCACTTCAATTCAATCTCTAAATTTCAACAAATTATCACTAGTTTGGGTCAAAACGGAGGTACAGCCGAGGAGAAAACCATCGGATACTTTGAATATCCTAACAGTATTTGAATATCCTAACAGTATGGCCGCTACAAGTTTCAGAACACATAGCAACTGAAGCTACTTAGCAAAAAACGAACTTAGAAGTTTCTGCAAGACCCACTTCATCATTTAGCCTTGCGTTGCTTTTTATTGGAGTTCTGTGCCTCCTGTTTCTTCTCCAGATTATTCTGAGATCTCTGTAAATAACGGGGCAAAAAAATGTCAGAACAGAGAGTAATGGAGCACCAAGTAGCTTCACATGCTATGACGCAATACCCATACATATACACATTCAGTTGTTGCATGTATTCAACATGCCAATATATACCTATGCTGGCATACAGCTTGGGATCATTCAACTGGAGATGGCGATAAGATGGTAGTGCTCAAGCTTTGGGCTCGGCTTTTCCAAATATTGCCTAAAAGCCATTGATATGTGCTTCACAAGAAATGCACGAGTAATGCAGATTAAAGTGTCTCCAACACCCAAAGTTGACCTCCATGGTGACATGCTGTTCGAGATCATTTAAGATGATGGAACATTATGTTCCGCAACCTTTCAGCTCAACAGGCACCTCCAAATGACGCCTAAAAGCCTTTGATATGTGCTCCAAAAAAAAAATGCAGTGCCACAGTAATGCAGTTTGAATTGTTTCAAGTGTATTCAACATCCAAAAATGATCTCCATGGTGGTGTGCTGCTCGAGATCATTCTAGATAATGAAAACATGATATCGCACAAAATTTGAGCTTAATAGGTCTTTCCAAATGACACCTAAAAGCCTTCAATATGTGCTTCGCAAAACAAAACCAGGAAGAAAAAAAAAGCAAATGCACACGCAAAAAAAAAAGTGACTCAATTACCTTCTTCTTTCTCCGATTTTGTCGCTGCCTACCTGAATCCTTCTTTGGTTTTTGTACTTGCTGAAAAATTTATCAGGCATAAGAAGAATTATTAAATGCCAAAATTCCATACAGAATAACAATTCAATTCAAGAAAGTACATTGGCCAGGATGAATTAGAATAGAATTTCTTAAATAGTGTAAACACCTGAGAGAGAGCTATAGTCCGAGCGTGTCGTTCAGCATGTGTCTCTTGCTCTTCCTCCAGTTCACCATCACTGTTGAGCATCAGTTTAAGCCTCCCTTCTCCTAGTAGTTTCTCGGAACGAGCATGCCTCTACAAAAACAAACCAAAATGAAGGCACGCGAGGAAAAAAAAGCATAGGAACAGGAGGAGGCTCCTAGTAGCATGATAAAGTGTCACTTTAAATCTTCACAACAGAAAAATCTTACTAATTTTCGTCTGGCCGTTCCCCTTCTTTTACAGAAAGGAAACATTAGCACTCTTCAAATGAATTACCTTCGATTTCAGATGTATCTTGACCATCTCCTCATTTAAGCATATGAGCCTAGGACAGAGCTTGCACTTAAACACAGATTTGCATTTCAGGATGCAGTTAGGAAAATCTGCATCAACGGCATCATCTGTGTTATCAGCACTTTTGGCAGAGTCAGCGTCAGCACCAGAAGATTCCTTAATGGGCAAACTTATTTCGCGACGTTCTTGATTTCTTGGGCTGCTATGTTCATCATCATCTGAAACGAAACCCATGATTGATTAAAAAATTGTTTTCACAACATTTAAGAACTATTTAACGCATAAAAGGGATGATGTCAATAGAAATGGGCACAACCAGAACAGTTTCCTCCCATTCTTTTCGAGAATACATAACATGAATCATAACTCAAGACAAGTACTGTTCGGGTGAGCTTAGCTGATTTTCTCAGACAGTGAACATTTTTTTTCATGACCAGTAGTTTAGCATGAATGCATAACCATATAACAAGATGACACCAAAGGGTAACAGTTAACAGCTATACGCTTATATTCTTTTAAATTACAATTAGAGCAAATTATCCTGTGCATAAGACTGAACAAACAATAATTCTCAGTTTCATACATCAACAACAAGTCTTAGAAATAGTAATTATCAGTCTTATAGAACCTACAAACACAATTCAAAAGTATCTTGCACAAACACTTGCTTTACAACAGGAAATCTAACTTCATCTAAACCATAAGTTACATAATCTGACAAAGATCCCCTAAATTAAAAGGAAAACAAGTTAAAGTCCAGATTCCAGAAACAATAAAGCATGGCTTATTATTTATCAGCAAGAACAAAGAATACCTATAGATGTGTCGTCAACATCATCCCCAGAGTTGTCCTCACTTTGGTATCCTGAACCTGGTAGACATAAGCAACAAAAGAAGAATTTTTTATCAATTCTTTTCACAGGTCAAGAGTCTGCTTCAGCTATTCCTGCACCTGGGGTATAACTTTCAGCTGTTTTTAGTGAAACAGTAAAATGAATATATCTAGCAGGAACTGATTACCCTATCAAACAGTTGGATTCCTAGGAAACATATAATGAAACAGAGCTTTCATAACAATGGATGACAGTTTCACTTAATAAATTATGGCATACTGCTCCTTTGTTCAATTTCTCCATTGATTCTACAGTTTAATTTACTGGAAATTGTAGTTAGACCTAACATCATATGCAAGTTTTATACTCATCATAAAAAACAATACAATACTCTTAGTTAACATACTGGAATAGTGTCATTGTTAGATTGAAACTGCTAATGATTCATCAACAATCAAAGAGACAATGGACAGATTGATCATTGCATTTGACTACTTTAAAATCTGATGGATCCTCTCCCTCGCATGACAAATTGAAGCTGATAGGCTAAACACTTTAAACTCATCCAACTGCATCAGGTTGTCCATTTGCAGAAACACAAGGCAATTGCGCGACAGAGAAACAGAGAAGAATACATGCAAGAGATCTCGACCCACACCATGAAATGTGGTTATACTCACTTTCTTCTTCAATCTGTTGTTCTAGTTCTTCTTCCTTTTCTTCTCCTGATTCTTCCCGGACTGCTTCCTCTTCTTGCACCTCCTCTACTTCCTCACTGCTGACTGCATCTTCCGCTGAATCTCTGTCTGAGTCACAACCTGATGAGGAGGAAGACGATGAGGAGCCACTGTTACCGCCGTGGTCCTGCCTGAAGTAGCGCCTCTTGATCATTTTGCCTTCTCCGGGTGAAAGACTGAAGAACAATTCAAGAACATAATTCAGAAACCACGTGTTCCCAATTAAAGAGGCACAAGAGAAGAACATCTATAACAAGAAGAATAAAACAAGACATAACCAAGCAGAAGTTTATGTCTTGTGCTACGGAATTCCGACTAGGTAACAGCTAACATTGATCTGAGTTATACATTTGGCCAGAAAGACAATATACTACTCTACTAACAGTAGCGCCATATTTATGCATCAAATATGAATCCATGAATCCATACATCGAATCTTGAATCAATGAATCCAGATTGGAAAACAAGATCCATGCATCAGCAAGACTACTATCAAGTATGAGTGGCGGACCCAGGATTTGAACCAAGATAGTCCCAGCCAATCCTACAGTACGCAATTCGGTACAATCCAATACACAATACGGTATACAAGTACAAAAATTAACAAGAAAAATAACCAATAGTACTTGCACGTATATTTAAATGTGCTCACAGTATCTTAAATCCAACATAATAAGTTCGAAACAAGTTGTGATTTAGTCCTGGAGGCTACCAGTCCAGTCATGCCAATCCTATATGGATGACACGCTAGATGGGTTGGGTCTGCCCATCAGAAACAAGTTCCTGAAGTTTGAACTCTATTAACATCCATTACAACAACAACAACAAAGCCTTTAAGTCCCAAACAAGTTGGGGTAGGCTAGAGTTGAAACCCAGCAGAAGCAATCAAGGTTCAGGCACGTGAATAACTGTTTTCCAAGCACTCCTATCTAAGGCTAAGTCTTTAGGTATATTCCATCCTTTCAAGTCTCCTTTTATTGCCTCTATCCAAGTCAACTTCGGTCTTCCTCTGCCTCTCTTCACGTTACTATCCTGGCTTAGGATTCCACTACGCACCGGTGCCTCTGGAGGTCTCCGTTGGACATGTCCAAACCATCTCAACCGATGTTAGACAAGCTTTTCTTCAATTGGTGCTACCCCTAATCTATCACGTATATCATCGTTCCGAACTCGATCCCTTCTTGTATGACCGCAAATCCAACGCAACATACGCATTTCCGCGACACTTATTTGTTGAACATATCGTCTCTTCATAGGCCAACATTCTGCACCATACAACATAGCAGGTCTAATCGTCGTCCTATAAAACTTGCCTTTTAGCTTCAGGTACCCTTTTTTGTCACATAGGACACCAGATGTTTGGCGCCACTTCATCCACCACTCGCTTTGATTCTATGGCTAACATCTTCATCAATATCCCGTCTCTCTGTAGCATTGATCCTAAATATCGAAAGGCATCCTTCCTAGGCACTATTTGACCTTCCAAACTAATATATTCCTCCTCCCGAGTAGTAGTGCGAGTCACATCTCATATACTCGCTTTTTAGTTATGAGATTATTTTTTTAGTCTTAACCTGAAAGCCCATTCCTATCTGATTGGTTCTGCAGGCTAGACCCTTGATTTCACAGGTTGCAATCATTACATGACGATGAGAATGATTGAACGTGCTGCATCCACTGTGTGCCAATCAGAACAGGATTAACACGGCACCTAAACTTTTCATGTGAAACACAGAATAAAATTGAGGTAGGTAAGCTACCTGACAAGTTTACAACAGTAGCAAAACAAAAACATCTGACAACAGTCTGGGTGAACTAAGCCAGAGACTTGAAATTTGGACATGAAATTGAGTCCAATATGAATCATAGTGCATGACATTGCAAGGACTTGATCTCTATTGCACTGAGATTCATAAAATTGACAAGACAGCCTCGGGTTTTGAATGAAACTAGAAGGAATTTAAGGATTCGACCTCGCTACTGCAGTACTGCAGGATACGACGGCAGGGTCGGTACACACACAAGATAATATTTGCATAAGTTCGAAGTTAGCCGGCATCAAATAGCCGAATAGGCGAGTAGCTTTAAGTCAAGGGTTTGGGGCTCGGTTTCGCACGGGGGGGAGGGCAGAGAAGGGGTGGGAATACCTGGTGCGTGCTCAGAGCGGCGGCGGCGGTAGCTCAGAGCAAGCGACAGAGAGCGCGCCGCGCACGGGGTGGCGGCGGAGGCGGTAGCTCTGAGGTCTGAGCAAGCAAGAGAGAGGACGGGGTGGGCGGGTGCTAGCGGTCCGGGGTTGTTCGGCCCAGCCCAACAGGGGAGGGCACCCACACGGGCCTTTTTTCCTGGGCCCTTAACTTTCACGCGTTTCTTTTACACAATTCTTTCTCTCTCTTTTTACGTATTTTTATTCTTCCTAATTTTATATTATATTTATTTTATTATTTATTATACTAACAGTGGGAAACTGCCAATGGAAAGTGAAAATTGGTTTAAATAAGTAAAATAGTAATGGTATCTACTAATACATTGCAAATAAGCAAGACATTTTTTTTCTATTCAAGCTAGAACATTTTCAACTCGAACCTAGAACAAATTTCAGGAACATGCAACACTTTTTCTCTCAAAGTAGAAACAGTTTTATCTTTAACGTGTGACAAATTCCAAATGAACTTAGAATAAAAATATTGTTCTCTCATTATTTTACTATATACTATTTTTATTATAAACATGTGGCGAATTCCAAATGAACCTGGAGTATTGCTTGGTGCAAGAACAAAATTATTTTTTCAAATTTGAAGTGTAGTTTTAAAACCATTGTTCCCTACTTGAGATGCTTTGACTCTACAAAAAAGTTGGAATGACTTATAATTTGGGATGGAGGGAGTACTATATAATATACCTTTTACGTGCATGTTTGTGTTCTTTTTTCGCTTTTGGTCTACCTTGCATCTAAAGTTCGCTCTACCTATATAGAATAGCTAAAGTTCGCAAGACCTATGATTTTTTTCTAGGTCCACAGTTGCCCATGGTGGTTGTACATAGCCGTAATGGTATCATCTTTTCTTTTAATAATTTAATATAAAACTAGTAAACATGCACGTGCGTTGTAACATGCTCAACTTGTGATGTGGTCACATGGAGAACTTACGACTCTTTTTTTTAAAAAGAACCGACAAGTTATCTGCCGTTCTATGTATTGATAGAGAAGATGAACACACAAAACATTACAACATAAGAACACCACCACACAACCACAACCACAACACAAAAAACCACCCCAACAAGCTTTGAACCTAGCACCGGCAACAAGGGTCACCAGACAAGCTGTAGCAACATCCATGGTGGGAAGGGGTCCTCCAAAGTGACTCGATATGCAACAATCACGTCCTCGTTCCAATATGTCATAATCGGATTTCGAACCGCGGCTAGATATACGTTGTTCTAACTCATATAAGCACGTGCTATAAGAATGGGTCATGGTCGGAAAAGAGAAACGCATAAGAGCATCATATGAAGTAAAAGTAAAATACGACATATCTAATAATATTTTTTATTTTAATTTTAGATATATAGATATATATACATATACATATATAGATATAGATAATTGGTAAGGCAGATTAGCGAAAAAAAAAGATAGTAGCACAACTCTTCCATTTAGATTCGCTCTCGCATCCAAAATACACAGTAATTTTTTTATATCATAACAGTGATGAAAAGACCATGGGAACTATGCAGATCCTGTTTATCATCTTACACTAAACATATATTACTAGTACCAACAATCGATTGAAACGTGGAGCCCGATCAAAGAGAAGTGCCGAACATACTACTATAGCTCACTCAGCACTCAGCGGTCCACGTCGCTGTAAAGTTACACGTACGATCCCATGTGGACCCAGAGGAGCCACGTCGTCCCCCACCCGCCGAACCACCAGGCCCACCACCACGGGCAAGTGGCCCCCACCGCGCCAAGCTTTTTCCCCATGGTCCACCGTGGACACCACCCACGCGCGAACCAACGCCCTGCACCCGGCCCCCGCTGGCACGCGGGCCCCGCCACCACCCCGACCCCGGGCCCCACCCGCAGCCCCACGGCACGCCTGCCGTACCGGCCGTCTCCGCGTCTAGAAGGGTCCACACACTAACCACCCAGTTTAATACGCGGGTCATTTTTTTACTTTTTAATTTAATCTAATCTATAATCTGACGCGTAATCGCAGCGGCGAGGCCTGGGAAACGGGCTGGCCTTTATAAGCGCACGCCAGAACAGAAAAAAGGAAAAGAACAAAAAAAGGGGGAAATTCTCCACGGGGGAAAAGGTCGCGTGCCGTCTCGCCCACAGGTTGGTGCCGCCGCTCGCCGCCTCTCCTCCAACTCCCTTCCTCCTCCACGGCCCCAGATCTGACCCCTCTCGGTTCTCCGCGCCGGCCAGCCGATCCGGGGCGCGCGTCTCCATCTCCGTCTCAGGCCTGTTGTTGGCGGGTTCGTGGCGTGTCGAGATGTATGTTTTTTTTTTCCGTTAGATAGAATTTTGGCTGATTCGTTGGTTGCCTGGTGTTGCTATTGGATCGACGAGTAGCGATTCGCTTGGATCTGCGCGGCGGATTGGGTTGACCGCTGTGGTTGGTGCCGTCGTCGTGCAGTTTTGGAGGACAGAATTTGTGTGGGGCTCGATTTTGGATTTGTTTCCCTTTATTAATTCTTCCCGAATCATTTGTGCCGTGGATTGTTTCTAGGCAGGCTGGGAGGTGGAGTGAATCGGTGAAGCGTATCGGTTTGCCTGGTTGGTCGCCGGAGGTTGGGGAAAGTTCATCCAGGTTGGGGAAAGTTCATCCATGCCCGCGCTGGGTGCATGCTACGGTTGATTTGCGGGCGGGCGCATGGTTTGCTTCTGTGAACATGGTGCCGAATCATGGAGCACGTCAGGAGGCATACGCTGATCAGGAAGGTCTCTCGGATTATCCCATGCCTTGGCTTGGATTAAGCGACAGGCTTTCTTGCCGTGCCTGGCACATCCATGACCGCGGGTGGATTACGGCAAGAGGTTTCTTGGTGACCATGGCAAGGGCAATTTGCTTGGAGATATGGCTTGAATTGCTATGATTAAGCTTGACTGGGTGAATTGTGTGTGCATCTGGGTGATTGGGATTCCAGGGTCCAGGCCTAGGTTGCTTCACCCGGTTGCTTCCAGTTGTCTGCCTTGTGCTGGGGGTGCATAAGCAATCTTTCCTTGCGGAGCAACCAAAAGCGATTGTGTGAGGCGGTTGATTAACCATGGGTGCAGAGCTTCAGTTGTTTATATAGGATATCCAATAAGGATGGGATAGTGCTCAAGCACAATTAGATCAGCTAACAAAGAAGACCTGGGGTGCGTGTTGCTGTCTAACAATACCATTGCTGCTCTGCAGGTTCGATGTGCTTGTCTTTATTTTGTTCTGCTCGATAAGCTGACAGATATGATAACATTTCTTACTGTTTTCAGTATTACAGCTGAATATGCAACCTGGGCACCTGGTGGTGTGCGCTAGTAATAATTAGTCTTATCAGGAAGAAAGAACCATGGTAGCAACTGTTGATGTTTGAATCAATCAATTTAGACTGGACTGTGGATAGAATCATATACGTTAACTTTTGATGTTTGAAACAACTTGAGACTGGGTGCTGAACTGCTGATTGCTAACATGTCCTTCGCCTGCAGCTGCTGCTTATCTGAATAATCTGGGCTGTGTTATCAGTTAACTAGAACTATTTGAAAGACCTTGCACAATGACACATTGGGATGAAATTGACATAAACATTGATAGCCTGGGTTATTCATTTGAGCCATTTACAATCAGATTTATTCTTTAGCTGATGGGCTGAAACAGTTGCATTCTCTAAAGGAAACAAGGATTGAAATTTGCTGCACACCTTTTCATGATTCAACCCAGCACTGCTAATTTCCTCATTTTCTCTCTGCGCAACCTTTGTAGTTCCAACTGTTGGACATTGGGTTGTATTTTTTTCCGAACCTGAATCATGTATTTCTGTCTTTTTGTCACTCTTACTGATTTTGTGCTCTTATTTGCCTTCTAATTAACTGTGAACTTTTGTCCCTGCAGCCTGTTGATAGCAATGGCACAAGAGAGCTGGAAACAAGAGTCTGAGGAGACTGGAGTCCACGCCCCTGAGGCCCCAATTCTGTGCATAAACAATTGTGGCTTCTTCGGCAGCAGCATGACAAACAATATGTGCTCGAAGTGCTATAGGGACTTCATCAAGTTGATGGAAAACCCTGCAGTGGAGAAGAAGTCGATCATAGGGCCATCATCCTCTGCGGTGCCTCCACTAGAGGCAGCAAAGCGAGACGATGCGACCGCCGCTGCCGAAGCCACAACTGTAGACGACAAGCAAGCAGCGCAGGAGGAGCCCCCAAAGCCGCCGAGCAACCGATGCCTGACCTGCCGCAAGAAGGTCGGGCTGACTGGGTTCCAGTGCCGCTGCGGCAGGACCTTCTGCTCCATGCACCGCTACACGGACTCCCACCAGTGCACCTTCGACTATAAGACGGCGGCCAGGGAGCAGATCACCAAGCAGAACCCCGTCGTGATGGCTGAGAAGATCAACAAGATCTGACTGATGGGCGGTCATCGTCGAGTCTCTGGATTCTAAATTCGTGTCCGTGCCTGGGTTCAGTCAATCTCGCTCCGATCGATAGGTTCCTTCAGGTCGTCAGGTTGGGGGTGGTCTGGGTTAGTAGTGTGTTAGTTGGGGGTTGGGGGGATCTCAATTGTGTCTATCCTTCTTCCTTTTATCATGGTTTCGTTCTCTCCATTGTGTAATAATGTAAATATATGCCCTATTCAAACTGTAATTTAATCCTATTGCTTCCTAATTACTACTATTGCTTTGTTCGCTTGGCTGATAAGTCATGGCTAAAAGTATTATTGATCGATTTGTTGTGAGAGAAAAATACTGTTCGTTGGTTGAAAAAGTACAGTTTATAGACCAAGCGAACAAGGCCTATGTTGATGGGGTTTGATTTATATCGTTGAATATATCAAGTGGCGTCCTGTCTTTGTTCATTGCAGATATCGAGAATTTTTTTTTTAACAATTCGAGTTGAAGGAACGCAGGGTGATTGGATGGCAGCTTAGCTTTGTTTGTTAGCCGTATAGTTTGTGCTGAAAGGATGTCGTGGTTTTGCGTCGTCGTCGCTTCAGCTGAAGTTTTTTGAGGCGCGCATTCTGACCTGAAGGCCCGCAAGTGGTGTATTGGCATGTCACCGGTATTGTACATCACTCGGTGCGCTGGAAGCCTGGAAGCCTGGGGAAGTCGCAGCAAGCCTGAAGCTTATCTCATCCTCCTACTACCACCAAGGCACCAAGTAGTATATGTGATGAGATAAAGGTCGTACGTCAAGATAAGCCTATAGATAGATGCCAAGTCCGTTTCTTGTGACGTTCCTTGTGAGTCATGGATGTCCACATGCAACTGCCTTGGCCATTCTTTGCTGTACTCATGATCAGTGCGTCCGTTGGAAAGCAATGCTTGTTGAGAGTTGGATTGAGTACATGTCAAATGGGATCCATTATGTGGGTTTAGTTGCTTGGAGAGGAAAACACTGCCGGAACTGGAGGAGGAGGGGTTGACTGGCAAATGGCAATGCCCCCTGCTGTTCGCCTTTTCGTGGTGTCAGCCGCTTATAGCTTCGCTTTGTGCTGGGTCTCTATCTCGGTCACGGTACAAAGGGAAATCGCGAGATAGAGAGGCAAACGATGGTGACACCATATTGACTCGTGGAATGACAGGAATAAATAGGATCAAGCGAGTCACTGGAAATGTGAAATTCAGTGGCGAGGTTTTTGTCCCTAAAATTGAAGGGGGCTGTCAGACTCAGAGGCAACCAGCCTGTTCGCTTGGTCGTGTTTGGTTTATAAGTCATGGTTTATCAGTTAAAGAAAAGTATTTTTTTCTCACATCAAATCAGCTAATAATACTTTCTGTCATGGCTTATCAGTCAAACAAGCCTAAACGAAAGGCGAACATATTTGGCAAAATTCTGATGGGATGGGTCATGGGTGGGTGTTTGTCTGCCCAGCTCACACGTCAGACCCCCAGCTCGCATGCAGAGTCTACAGCGGCACTGGAGTACTGGGCCTTCTTTTAGATCGCAGAAATGGAAATGGTTTCTGGGTTTCATCTTTTTGATTGAGAGGTCAACTGGATGTGCAGATTTCTCGTTCTGAATACGCCCTGTTCGCTTGGGCTTGTTTGCCTGATAAGACATGACTGAAAGTACTGTTGGCTGATTTAGTGTGTGAGAGAAATACTGTTCGTTGACTGAAAAAGTACGACTTATAAGTCAAATAAGCCTAAATGAACAGGGCGTTGAAAGGCACCTCGTTCGCCTGGATGTTTGGATCCATACACGGTTTCGAATACCAACTCGGATATACCGCTCAGTCCCTAAATAACTATCATTTTTTCGTTTTTTCAAGGAAAACTAAATATAAATAAAAAATAATAGTATTACAATACTCCTTTCATACAGGTAATTAAGGTCGTTTAAGACAGTATTTAGCGTACAGAAATTAATTAATTAGGATGTATTTTTTCTTGTTTGCTCTTATTAAATAGGGTATGTCACCTACAACAAATGTTTGTAGCTGGAGTGGTGCCGCAGCCTGAGGCAGGAGGTGCACAGTTTGATCCTTCTTAGGTGCGGTATTTTTGCAGAGCACGTGATTTTTGCCTGGCACCGTGTGGCTCATTTGGGCACGTTTTTTTTGCCGCTCGCGTTTGGGCGCGTTCTTTTGGCAAGTTTTTTTCTTTCTCAGATACGCAAAAGACTTGCGCATCTTTGTAATTAAGGTAGAAAAGTTTGATACAAACAATACGCTCTTGGCGAGCGTCCTAGAAGGTCTACAGGATTGCAGCCGATAGCTAGACCATCCTAGCAAACAAATACATATTTTGATATTAAACGAATGATAGACAACCAGGATAAGGGCAGCGACATAGCCTAGGAAGAGAGCTTGCGCTTTCGCTGCTTCCAGCGTGACTCATTCCCAACGTCGTGGAAGAGCGTTTCCAGCGCTTCGACGTTGGAATCGTCGGGCCTGGCCTCGTAGAGCTCCTCGTAGGTCTTCATCGCTGATGCGCTTGGTGTTGACAGGCCCGTGACCAAACCTAATCGCTGCATGATTAGGATCTCACCTCTTGGAAGTAGGCACTAGAGAGGCATTGAGCCGCTAGACGCTTGCATCGTCACGGCAGCACCGCCTTTGCAGGTGGCGGCTTGGGCGGCTCGCGGATCAGCGGTGAGGCCCTCTTACGCGTGAGTTTGTTGATGAAGTTCTTGAGGCAGCGCGTGGCGGAGGCGTCGTTGTCCACGGACTAGTGGTTATCCACCGGCGACGTATTGGGGGGGGGGGCTAGCATCCGCCGTGAGGTCGGCCGGATCGAAGCCTTGCGGGTAGCCCTCCTCGAGCTCCGTGGATGCATCAATATGTGGGCGTTCCTGCTGAGGCGACACCGATGGCGAGACCGCTTGAGTGGGGCATGGTGGTGATGTCTGCAGCACCAAGTTGGCGTGCTGGGACACCGTCTGCTGCCTTCCTGGAAGGCCACTGGTGCAGTCGCAGGAGAGCACCACCGGAGCCTCATCCTCCAGCTAGGCGGTCGTCGGAGCTGCAGCTATGCTCCTTTGGTTAGTGGTGACTGAGGCTGCGAACTCCTCTAGCATTGGGTCCTCCGTGGCATTATGACTAGCGGTTGTGTCTGAAAGGATCAAGATGTCCAAGATGGGGGTGAATTGAGCTAATTCTAAATTTCTTCGCAATAAATAAAACCTACGGTTAGCCCAATTAACCCCTTGTGCCTAGAAAAGTGTTTCTATTGAACTAACGCACAAAAGTTTAGCAACCTAAGTTTCAATCCTACTCTAGCATGGTAATTCTATGAATGTAAATGACAAGAATTGAATTGCTCAAAGTAAAGAGAGGAGAGGAAACGCGGTGATGTTTTGCCGAGGTATCAGAGAGTCGCCACTCCCCACTAGTCCTCGTTGGAGCACCCGCGCAAGGGTGTAGCTCCCCTTTGATCCGCGCAAGGATCAAGTGCTCTCTACGGGTTGATTCTTCGACACTCCGTCGTGGTGAATCACCCACAACCGCTCACAACTTGAGTTGAGTCATCCACAAGCTCTCCGGATGATCACCAAGCTCCCAATCACCACCAAGCCGTCTAGGTGATGGTGATCACCAAGAGTAACAAGCACGAACTCTCACTTGACCACGACAAGCCTAATGAGAAGGGTGGATGCACACTTTGCTACTCTTGATCTCACTAATGAGGGCTCTCTTTAGGATTATCAAATCTCAATCACCTCACTAGGACCTTGCTCTTCTTGGCACTCTCAAACGTGTTTCTCAGCTGTTGGAATGAGCAAAAGTACCCCCACACACGAGTGGAGGTGGTATTTATAACATGGGCTGAAAAACGAACCGTTATGTGCCTCTGCGGGGTGACTGGATGCTCCGGTCATGTTGACCGGACGCTCCGGTCAGTACACCCCGAACTCCAGTGTTTATAGTGTGACCGGACGCTGGCCAGCGTCCAGTCAGCACTGACCGGACGCATTCGGTCATGATTTTCCCTCTCTGGAACCTTACTGGAGTCGACCGGACCCTGCCTCTCAGTGTCCGGTCACATGACCTCTCAGCGTCCGGTCGCGCCAGACGCATTCTGCTTGGTCAAATGAACTGACCGGACCCTGAGCCAGCGTCCGATCAAACCGGAGCCAGCGTCCGGTCAGTATTTAACCCTCTATTCACTTCCAACTCTCGATCATATGTGAATGAAGTTTGCTCCATTGGATCTAAGGGCTATTTTGAAGCTACCTAGTGCTAGTTTTAACAAGTGTGCACCACACTTAACTCACTAGACTCACCTAGGTCAAGCTATCCGTCTATACCCCCCTTAATAGTACGGCCAAAGGAAAAACAAAGTATTAAACTACTCTAAGTGTCTCTCCAACTCCAATCGACACTTAGAACTAATCCATCCTTAACCTTGTCGTCCATCCTTTGAAAACCGAAATGATTTCCATCGTAGGGGCATGACCACCTTGATTGCCCAATCGATCTCCATTACCATGACCTAACTTAATTGCCTCTGCAAAACACACGTTAGTCATAGTAATCTTGTATTGTCATTAATCACCGAAATCCAACTAGGGGCCTAGATGCTTTTAGTGTCCCAAGGCCATAGGTGTCCTAAGGCCACAGGGTAATTACTAGTGGGTCAGGCACAAGAAGGCGCCTATTATTAGATCAAATCAAATGCGTCTCTTGTTAGTGTAAGTGCAATCAATCCCTAATTGTGGGTTTTGTTGATAATGACCACGCAATTAGAGAACTAATGAGATTTATCTAGATGACAAGCAGGAGAATCATAAGAGAGGATGTTATACACAATGGAGGAGCCCCCAATTACAAAAGATGACGGCATCATGCTTGAAAGGAGGTTTATTTCATTTATATTTTGAAATTAAGTATAGGAAAAGTCGTACTATAAAGGGGGACACAATGCTTAAGTCAATATGTGCAACCAAGTGCTCAATCCTACACAAA